AAGAGGAGAAGAGGGAAGAAACCAAGTTGAGGAAGAAGTTGAGTATGAATCGCTAAGAAAGAGTCGAGCAGCCCTCGCTAAATCAGGCCTATCCTTTTGAATACTTGGATTTCAGCTATGAGGCCACCACCATTGAAAATCTTAATTCCGGGGCTTCATTTTTCACTTAAGAATCTCCTAAATCCGTATCCGGATGGGGGAGATATGATTGGTTGAAGTTGGGCATCATTCCGATTAGACCGAAACTGAAAAACCTTCACTAAAAGAGGGATATCTCTTAGCACACAAGGAATTTTGAGGTGAGGCTTCCAAATTTGGAAAGAAGACTTCTAGGGCTACAGTTTAGGCTCAAGAATGACCTGAAAAGGAGTCCAGATGAAGAAATTAGGCTTGCTTTAAGTCAGGGATCAGGACTGATTTTTTCCATCAGCCTCTATGGGACTGCATCGGCCACAATTAGACCTCATAGGCCATAGGTCGGCCAAAAGTGAACCTTATCGGCCAAAAATGATGGCTGGTCGGCACCAAAGATGGCCGGTCAGCCAGAAGTGTCCAGAAAGCCCAGAATTGGCAAATATTTTCCTCTCCAGCTGTTGTGCATTGCATCAGATATTTCCAAATGAGATATTTCAACCAAATGCTCATATATTGCTATATATTGAGCCATATCTCATATATTGAGGGGTTGGCAACTGTGGGATTCTCTCTCTCTAAAAAAATTCCTCTCTTTCTACAAGATTTTGTGAGCAAAATCTGAGCCTCTCTCCCTAAAAGCTTTTTCTCTTCTTGTTTTGAGCCTTAAGCTTAGAATCCTCTACACTTTTGCAAAGAGACCCTTAACCAAACTCAAATTTTGACTGGTTTTGCTGTTTTCCTTCAAGGTGCTTCAAGGGTAAGCTCTTGTCCCTTTAAACCTTTGCTTTGCATGCTTGTTTTACCAACTTTGTAAACTGTTTTTGGCTTAGTTTTGAACTAAAGAAAACTCTATTTTTTAGTCCTAAAAATGATGGTTTAGGCCTATTTTGTGTTAGAGGTTGTCTCTCCCTTTTGTTCCTTAGCTTTTATAGCTTTTGAGCCATTTTCTAAGGCCTTTCAAAACAAATTTTCGTGGCCTTTTAACCACTGAAATCCAAAGGATTTTCAGTGATAAAAACCCTATTTTGAGGGCCCAAATAGGAGAGGGTGGTCCCCTCTCCTCTTGTCTTGCCTGCTAGTATTGGTGGCCAACCAAACGAGCATGTATTTTTACTTCTTTATGGCTTTATTTAGGCTCAATTTTGTGACTTCTTAGACCTGGCATATCATTGTTTTGGCTTGGTTTGATCACCTCATGCATGCTTTATACACGTGTGTGTAATTCTTGCAGACTAGCCTTATATGCCTCATGAAGTAGCATGTTTGTTAAGCATGTATGGGCTCCATTTCAGCATGTTTTTTTTGTCATTATTTAGCATGTCATAACTCTGTCTAAAGTTGGTTTGATAGCCTCTTGCATGCTCCATGCACTTATAGTGCAATTTCATTCACTGACCTAACATGCATCATGCTTTTGACCATCATTCTAGCATGTTTTTGGCTCAACTCAAAGAAGTTTTTACTCATATTTCAGCATGCTTAAGCTCTGTTTGAAGTTTCTTTGATCATGCATGCGTTGCTTTGTATAGCCATAATGCATTCTTGCTTACTAGCTTTGTACATTAAGTCCACTAACATGCATTGCCTGGGCTATGTGCATGATTTGGCATCACTTGGTATATGATTTCAATGCATATGGTGCGGCCATACTCTCTCATGCTTCGCTATTTCAATGCTTTTGATGAGTCATGCTATATGCCTTAAGTATGAGTCTATTTGCATGCCTTATTGCCTAAGCTTGTGGGCTGCCATATCAGTGCATTTTTGGTGTTATTTTGACATGCCATAACTCTTATTTTTATTGGCGAAGTCATCTCATGCTCGGTTTTGATAGGTGTAGTGTAATCCTCCTTATTGGCCTTGTATGCGTCATGTTTTGTGCCTTCCATCCTAACATGAGTTAGGCCTGTTCAAGCATGTTTCTAGCCTTGTTTTGGCCTGCCTTTGGACTGTTTTGAGTCACCTTGGCCCTCTGGGGCTTGGTTGATATGGCCATGGTGTAAGTCTCTTGGCTAGCTTTAAGCTTTAAGTCCACTAGCATGCTTTGTTTGTCATATGTGCATGGTTTAGCCTCATTTGGAATGTGATTTTAGAGCCTACTTCACTACCACACTCTCACATTTTATACTCCTTCAATGTGCTTAAGAGTTGGTGCCTTCATGCTTTGTTTGTGAACCAATTGGCATGTATGTTTGCATATACTTTTGGACTTCATTTCTTTAGCGTACTTTGGCCATTATTTTGGCATGCATGAAGCTTATTTGTGGTTGGTTTTGTCCTTTATGTGTTGCATTACATAGCCCTTGCCATTGTATGTTGTTGCATGCTCATGTTGCTTACATATTATTGTTGCATGTTCATGTTTTTCGCATGTTGCATGTTACATTCCCTTTGCATGTTTGTTGCATTGCATTGTGTTTGGGTCGGATGTTGATCCAAACACGGGGAACGAGGGGCGTTTCATACTTGAAGTGATGAAACTCACCTCATTCCTTAGGTCACCAACACCTTTGATCATGCATGATGAGGTAGAGGTTCATAGAGTCTTATGTGGCACTTGTGTGCATTCATTACCATTAATTTGTGCAACTCGGCCTCTTTGGCCATCATGCATTGAGATGCGTGATTAATGGCTCGAGAGCCGAGCACTACACTCTTTTGAGCCTTAGACATGATAAGGAGTGTGGTTGCACACACATTTTCTTGCAAATACACTGCCACGCCTCTGTTAGTGCTCTGTTGCAGCAAAAAATGGGAAATTACAGGAAGCAGTGGTCGATCGACCATCTAATCTGTCGATCGGTTATCAAAATTGGCTGATAGCCTTGAAAATTGGTCGATGACCATTATCAACTGGCCGGTGGCCACCCCTCTTGGCCGATGACCTCTCAAAATGTCCATGAGGTACGCCAAAATCATTACAGAAGTTGGCATAATTTTTAGAGGTGCAGAACAATGCAAACAAAGGCAACATGAGGCATGGGGCAACGGATTTCCGAGCGAAGTCGATCGAACATGCATATGCCTCTCTTCTCGAGGCCGTTTTAACTGCTTTGTATAGTTAGTTAATTTGTAATTAATTAGTTAATGTGTTAGCTAATTTAATTCATCGTTGTAAATTCTTAATTAGCTTAGCTTAGCTAATATTAAATTTGATTATGTAATAATTAGTCTAATTAGATTATTAGACTAGTTAGAATAGCTTAGCGTAGCTAGCTTGTATTATTCATGCGGACCCTCCGTCAAGATGGCGAATTTTGTAATAAGTGTGCGTGTATGTGGTGCATGTCTTCCAACCTCACATCTCTCTCCCTTTTACTTAGCCGCTTACGATGGTTAGTTCTCGGTCATATTTTGATTAGCATCCTTATACTCGCATGCGTGCATCATTCATCTGTCTTGCATGCACTGGGCTCGGCTCATCATACAAACTGCATTGTATTTCAATACCAATTTGAATACATGTTATCTAGTTGCATTCACATGACATCTTAGAATAGCCGAGCCTATCTTAGTTGCATTTTGCATGTATTGCATTAGGCATTCTTGACATAGCTAGGGTTATGCATTGATTTCTAACATAACTTTTGTTTTGGCTCGGAGTACTAGGTAAGTTTTTACGCTTTAGCATACTGCATGTGTGTTAGTGGTTGCCATGAATAGCATGCTTGCCATAAGGCTATTTGCTTAAATAATATAACTGCATAAATGCTTGTGGATGAAGGTTGGATTGCTTGAATTGGAACAACTTATCGAAATGCGAGTTTTAAGCCCACTTAAGTGGCAAAATCATGTTTTCTAAGCCCACTCAAGGGTGGCAAATCCACGTCTTAGCCTACTTGCGAGTAGCACCTTCATACCGTTTTCAAACAAACAAACATGAGATGTTTTGTTCTAATTTAAGTGACCTAATCTATACTTGTATACTGTACGCATCATGTAGTAAGGTTAGCTAATAAACTGGAATAAGAACACATGTGTTTCCAAAAACAAAATATCATGTTAGTAAAGGTCGATCTTTGATCGGGCAAGCGGGGGTGCTCATTGCATGACCTTCCCCTCTCGTACCCAAGTTCCCGAGCCGAGGCAACTTTGGTGATGACGGACACGTGGCCTTAGGCACGAGTCAGGGTTTCCTAAATTTTTCAAAATAAAATATTTATGTGGCGACTCTGTATCTGGCAAAGCAGTTCATGTTTGGCACTTCTTTATTAAAATCAATTTTTCAAAACGATTTGCCAGATTTGGACTCTTTGGTGATTTATCGGTCTTGCATTGCACTTTACGAGATTAGATTCAAAACCGCGACATTGAGTCCGAGCTGTAGTAGCTAATAAACAAAACGAATTTCGCGCCGTTCGCGCGCAGAGCCGGGACGTTCGGGCACGTCTACAAACACTAATTATCATGTTAACAATGCAAGAATACTGATGGAAGGCCCATAACAATTTAGATTTTAGTTATACTTTGTTTTATTTATTCAGTGAATTTCCAACAAATGTAATACATTCTTATTTTTATTACCTTTTTTTTTTATCAGTAAAGAAAAATTTCATTAACAGTATGAAATTAAAGGTACAGGATGATGACATGCATCGAGAGAGATTTGGAAAGTACAAAAATACCCCTACTACTGCTACTCACATCTATACAACCAACCCCTTGACCTCACGATTTTTTTAAACAAAAAAAGTTAGGAAGGACTTAACTAGAAAATAAAATACATGAATCCCCACAAAATCAACCCACCAAATCACCCAAGCTGATCCTGCAATACTCTTATCAACAAACTGAAATTTTCTTTTCCAACACCCAAGTTGCTGTACACCTCTAATCAATCCAATTATTTCATTCACCTTTTCTTTTCAACAACCCACACTGCCAAGACCCACGCCTATGCTGCTACAACTCCCAATGCCCACACCACCCACGCCTATGCTGCTGCAACTCCCAATGCCCACACCACCCACGCCTAAGCTGCTGCCCACACTACGCCTATGCTGCTGCAACTCCCAATACCCACACCTATACTGTTAATCCGACCGAGAAAACTCCATAGCCAACATCGAAAAACTCCAACGCCTATGCTGCTGCAACTCCCCTGCTGACATTGCAGTTCCAACATTAGCTGCAGTAGACAAATCGTCTCTCTAATTAATTACCTTCTTGGAAGAGCAACTCCCACTGCCACCGCTATCTCTTCCGCTAATAGGCTCGCAGATTCCTTCTCCAGTGGTGGTGGCGGTGGATCCAGTACTCCTCTTCGACCAATTACATTGCCTCGGCTGAGTCTAATAGAATATCTTTGAAACCACAAGTTCTGCAGATCCAAACACCGACCAAACACCAACCCACCGCTGGGACACCTCCACACATTTGGAAGAAGTTCGCCCTTCAAACTCTTACTCGAAGAGGAGCGCACGAATGAAAACCAAACAGATCTGGATCGACTTTGACACCCATGTTTCTGCCTAAACAAAGCATCGATACTTCTCCAAAAATCTGAACCTGAGTTCACCCCTCAAGCTCCTACTCGCAAAAGAGCGCTCAAATGAAGATCTTGGACGGCCCCTGATGAAAACAACACACCACTACCCCCATTGAATCAGCTATAACGGGCCCCGAATCACCAAAAAATAAAGTCTACCGCAACACACAAAACACACCTAGGTGGGAAAAAAATAGGAGAATCAAGTTTATTAAAGGAAAAAACTAACAAACAAACGCCAGAAAGAGCTAGGCCAACCGATTGCCATAGCCAAAGGCGGCAGCCAGCCGACCCAAATAAAGGCCTAGAGAGGAGGTTTTTAGAGAGCTTATTTTTATTACTTTAATTATGCAATGTCAACATTTTTTTTTAAATTATATATATTTTATACAAACAATTTAAATATATATTTAACATAACTATAAATAATTTTTTTAAAATTTAATCCTATGCATAACACATGTGATATCTTAGTATATCATTAAACAAAAGCTTATCTACAAGAGCCGATGGAGGACACGACACCCAATCCAAAGGCAAAACCTCGTCTAGACAAAGCTATCTAATGGGCAACTCCATTAGCTACTCTGGAGCACCAAAAAAAACAGATAGCCCTCCTCCCCTAGCCATAGCAACAACGGTGGAAAAACTTTACAAGTCCTGTAGTTGAGTTTGGTTTGTTCCTTTATAGCTGCCTTAAACCAATAATCAGTTTGTTTGTGTTTTGGTTTTCTTTTTTGTTGTCAATTTTTAAAAATTGTTTTCAAACAAAAATAAAAATGATATGAAAATGAGGTTTTTTTTTTAACTTTTTATTATTTTTATTTCTAAAAAAAGAAAAAAAGAACTAAAAAAAATACCAAATATGAAATTTTATTTTTCTGCAATTGCATTATCTTTCTCATTATGTATATAAATGTTTTACAAATATTATTGTAAACACGCAAGGCACATCTATAACATATCTTTTCCAATACAAACCCCCACATACCCATGACAACAGAAACGGGATTATTGTTGTAGCGAGCCCGATGGTACCCATTTTGGGTCATAATTCAATTATCTTTTTACTGTTTATTTTTTAAAAGTATCAAGTAGATCACACTTGTAAAAAATTAATTGATTGGACATTAGTAACTCTTTCATCAATCACATTCGCATTTATTTTTATATTTAAAATCACACTTACAATTTATTTTTTAGATACAAATACAATTTAGTAAAAGAGCTACCGATATCCAAATCAACTTGATTTTGTATAAGTAATTTTGCTTAATATATCCAAAAAAATAAACTATTCGAATCATTAAAGCAGATCCAACAGACCTGTCTTGTGGGCCAATATGTTAAGAGATTATGTCACTCAAATCCCATATAAATCTATACTGATATGCCTCATTTAGAAATTAAATATTTTAGTTAAAAAATTAAAATGTTTGACACATTTCTTTGTTTATTTTTTTTACATCTTTTTATAAAAAATTAAAAAATTATTAAAATAACATATTCTTAAACAAAGTAAAGACTTAAATCGAAATATTCTTTCATATACATGGTAACCACAATGATAATCAATAGATATATTACAGATATAAACAACAAACATGCCGGCTCACCATGATAAAAAACAATTTATGTGTTATGACAAAGCTTAAAATTGAACAAATATTCACTTACACAAAAAATTTATATAGTTCTCGACAACCCTCTTGTTGAAACTTAGATCTTTATAACTCTAAAATCTCACAAAAACATAATAACCCTCGTCATCTGCCCAATGAACGAATCATATGAATTGTGAATTGATAATAAGCATAATCCAAATCGAATTGCAGACATACCCAATCTATATGCATATATCAGCAAAATTTTAGGCTCGTCACTTATTTTGTTGTCAAGCCTCTCACAATTAAAATATGAGAGACTAAAAATAGCGTGAATATCGTTACTTTAATTTTCTTTCCTCATTTCTCTATTTCCTGTATTTATTCTCTCTCTCTCTCTCCCGTTGCCAAACAAACCCCTAACAATTGATTCTTTTACCTTATTTCATTCATCAAGAAGAATGAAAAGCTCACTAAAAAGTATTTTTTATCCTCATTTGTGAAAAGATCATTTTAATAATTTTTTATAAAAAGATGTGTAAAAAAATAAATAGAGTGATGTGATAACTTATATAACTTTTTAACTTTTTAATTAAAATAAAAAGTTGCCAAACAAGACGTTACCGAGAAAAAATGAAAGCTATATGGAATCTTGCCCAAATGAAGCTTCCTATAACAATGTAAGGCTGAAATTTTGACGCGGGTTCACATGCTTACATCAATTGGGTTTTTTTTCTTTTTTGTAATGAAGGTATCCAATACTTTGCCCCAACTAATCCTCCATTTTTGTTTCTACATTTTGGCTTCACAGGAAATGATTCTCCAATCTCTAATGTTGCAACTTTAACTTATTTGGCGGACCAAACTTTTTTCTTAAGTGAAAATTTTATTACAAAAAATATTAAGTGACCAGTTAAGGTCATCACAAAAATGCCGATCTGAAAAGTATTTTTTTATTTATTATTTTTAAAAGTGAGAATTTTCGAAGTATCGTTACACTTTTAAAAACAAAATAATTATGGCGCTAAAACTTTTGATAATTAAGATGTTTCGTACCTAAAACGTGATTTGGTTCTAAAATTTTTATTTCTAAAATGTTAATTTGTTACTGTAGATAATTACAATTTAATATACATGTACATCGGTTCTCCATACATATCCACTGTGAACCAATCATATGGATTTTGAATCAAATTGTGAATTGACTATAAGCTGATACGTATCAAGAACCAATCAACATGCATGTGATTCATTCTAATTAGAATACTTAGATGTATAGTATCAGAAAGACAACGATGATAAGTATATGTGGATTACTTGAAATCGTGCCCTCTTACCTGAGCTAGCAATTAAGTACTTCTCTAATTTCCATACTGCAGATTTAATTAAACTGGCTTTTCGTAAAATGCTTGATATCATTCAAAGTAAATTTGTTTCTCCAAAGCTACACAAAAATAAGTACTTACATTTAAAATTTAAATAAAACAGAAAAAGAAAGAGAAAAAAAAAAAAAAAAAAAAAAAAAAAAAAAAAAGCATTTACCTCATTTAGAGTTGGAAGTTGGAGTATACATCTAGACGAGAAAGGTGTACTAAGATCAAATCATAAATGGTATGGCAGAGAGAAAAAGAACAAGTGCTTTTAATTCTGGAACGGAAATCATATCAAATGCACTATCAAATCTGCGAGATGCTGCACTGCATGTGTTCAAAAAAATCTTCACATGAGACAAGAAATTAAACAAAAATCTCTGGTCCCTATTTTTCTCTCAACACTTTCATTCCACAAGAGTAGAACATTATTAAACAAACATGTTTTGTGTTCCGTTTGATTGTGTTTTCGTTTTCTGTATTTTATTTTCATTTTCAAAGACATAATTACATAGTTTTATTTTATTTTATTTTATTTTTGGGATGGTCATTTAATGACCTAAAAATATCGGAATACACCAGACAAATCTATAATTTTTATGGAAAGCCAAGATACACATCAAACAATAAGGTTTGGTTTTTGATGGAAAGCCAAGATACACATCAAACAATAAGGTTTGGTTTTTGATGGAGGTTGATTTTTTAATTTTTTAACTATTTTAACTTGGATTAAAAAAAGTCTCTTTGAGATGAATTTTTTAATTTTTTTAATTTTTGTAAGAAAAAAAATAAAATAATTATAATTTGAATATGATATTTCTTAACCTTAAACTAATAAATTTATTTTGTCATTTTATGACTATTTTAACTGTGCCAAACCAATGCTAAGGCCAAGTTTAGGTACTTCCAAAAAAGCCAAAAAGTCAAAAAGTTACTCAAAAAGTTAAAAAGTTAACACTATTCACCAAAAGTCAACAATTACGGCTGCACAACTCTCAATTCAAATTTTTCCCTACAAATCAATTTTTACAATTTTTTATTACACATTTTTCAATAAAAAGGCAAAAAATTAACCCAAACATCCATATTTTTAACCTCAATTTTTTAGTCCAAAAAGACAAAAAATGCACTTTTTTAGTCTTCCCAAACTTGGCCTAAGTCTTCAAAATGAAAGATTACTCACTCAATGTGTTTGATTCATAAATTTAGATTAGATAAAAAAGAGAAAAAAATAAATAAATATGTGCTACATATTTTACACGCATTTTACACAATTTTTTTTTTCCTTTTCAAATTTTTTCACAAATTAATGAACTAAACACAATCTTAGAAGAAAAGAAAAACCCTAGTTGCTTATTAAGTAAGCCAGGATTGAACATGAAGGAAGGTGAAATCTTGAAAATTCCAAGAAATGTTTGCAGCAAATGAACAAGGTTCAAGATCTTGCTCGACCACAACTGCCGCCACCGCCACCTCCTCCTCCTCCTCCTCTCTCTGTCTGTCTCTCTCTCAAGATCCCACCAGCTTCATGAAAACTCAAAGACAAACAAGTCAAGATTCAATTACACAGTATTTGAGGATTAAAAATATAGGAGAAAAAAAATTGTTTTTAAGAACTCTATGAGACTAAGGGCCAAGAACTCTCTTTCATACTAAGCCAGATGGGTATGAAAAGTTAAGCATCAAATCCATGACTCCTTGAAACCCTTACTAGACTGAGAAAGTACGGTACAATCTCAAATTACTACAAGAAAAAAAAAATGAAAAATCTCATAACAATACATCTCAAAAGTTCATCAAGATTTCCACCTTTTTCCCCCCTTGTTTTTTCCTATTTCGATGATAGACTTAAAAAACCAGGTTCAAACTCAACCAGTTTATAGAAACCATAAACATTTAAAACAGTACATCATAATCATTTACACATGAAATATGAAATGAATACCATACATTTTAACAAAGATAGTACGGAAATTAAAGGTGTATAGAGATCTTGGAATCATCAAACTGCCCAGAGACCCACAATTCTAACAATCTGTTGACATTTTCAGCGTAAGTTTTGACACACAAAAAAAAAAAAAAGAAAGAAATAAAAAGCATGGCATTTGAAAGAGCAAACATACTATAAATTAACAAACACAAAGAAAAGTGTAGAGAGAGAGAGAGAGATCCAGATGAAACCATTTAAGAGAGAACAAGATCAGAGCATACCTTCTTAGGGATTTTATGAGGAAAACACTGGTGGGCATGTAAGCATCTAGAGAGAAAGAGAGGGTAATGAAAATTAGGGTTAAGATGAAATTAGGGTTTTTCGTGACACCAACAACAGGTGAAGCTACCACACGATCTAATCTGTCCTCAACAAAGGAGGTATGTTTAGATCATGCTGGCAGCTTCAACTGAAAGTGGTGCACGATTACAAATTGTGCACTGCACTCCGTCCCTAGTAGGGTAGATTGGGGAAAAAGGAAGCCCTATAGTGTAATCTAATGCCCTTCTCTTCTTCATCTTCTCCTTAAGGGTACCTAGAGGGGAGAGGATGAAATGGGTATAAATAGATGGCGTGAGGCTGAGGAATCAATGGAGAATTATGATTTTTATTGGATATAAGGTCGAGTTTGGCAAGTCAAGAATAATCGATCATTTTATTTTTTTTTTATCATATTATCTCTTTATTTTTTTTATATTTATTTGTAAAAAGATAAAAAGTACATTTATTTAAGTCATCCCAAATAACTCATAAATGTAGGAGGGGAGCAATTATTTTAGGGCAAGTTTGGCATGTGTCTAAAAAGTCAAAAAGTTAAAAAATTATTCAAAAAATCAAAAAGTTATCACTATTTACCAAAAGTTAAAAAGTACGGCTGCACAACTCTCAATTCTAATTTTCTCTACACACTAATTTATAAAAAAATTTAATATACATTTTTTTATAAAAAGTCAAAAAGTTAATCCAAATAATCATATTTTTTTCCTCAATTTGTTAGTTTAGAAAGTTAAAAAATACACTTATTTAAAATATCACAAACAACCCCTTAATACTCGAAGAATATTACGGTCACGGTGCATCTGACTAATAAAAAATATAAAAAATTCACATAACACTACTAGTTGGGCATATAGTATTGTGCAAAAATTAGATCATTTTTGTTAAGAGTGGTATAAGTGAAGAAAACCTACATATATGACACACTAGTAAGATTGGAACCTGTTGATATAGTATAGTTTTTGATAAATAACTTGACACTAATCACTCGATTATTTAATAAAAGTATTTTGATAAATTTATATTTGCAATCTGTAAATATATAATTAAAAGAGAAACCATAGCAAATGTGAATTTTTTAAATTTAAAATGAGTCACATAAATCTCATATTTTTGTATGTGCATTTAATTTAAAATTTTATTAATTTGTTTTTTCTTATTTTTGTATGTCACCAATCTTGATTAAGTATTGTAAAATTTTTAATAAAATTCAAACATTAGTTCTGATGTAAAAAACAAAAATAAAAATAAAAAACCTCACCTACTTACCAACCTTTTAAAAAAATAATAATAAAATAATAAAAACAAAATATTAGATGGGAAGGGTGGTCCCACCCTGGTTAAGCAAATTGAATAATATCACGCCAACACCAACAACACCCACCACCATGCAGATTGCAGAGTTTCTAAATATTGTAAGAGTATTTATTAACCCTTTTAGGGATAGGGTAGGGGATGGTGGGGGGACCCTTTTCATGCATCTCGTTCTGTCTCTCTCTCTCTCTCCTCTCTTTGAGAAGGCATCAACCCTAAGCCAAAACAAGAATGTTGACACTAACAGTATACATGGGACCATTTTGCTTGGTTTCTTAGGTGTTGCATAAGGTTCACACAAAAAGCAATTCAAAAACGCATCTGTCAACCGAATTCTCTCTCTCTCTCTCTCTCTCACTTAACTCATTTTTTTTAAGCATCTTTTATTTGGTCAGAGTGGATGGCTTTTCTATTCGAACTTGTCATTTGTTGGATAACTTCAACATCTGATAGGTGCCAGCTGCACAATGGCTAGTTAAATGATACAGACAATTAGAAAACGACTTGGGTTGATTAGAGTTTGGTAATGTTTACGTTTTCAGTTTATATTTATAAAATTTTTATAAATTAATTTTTATTTATTTTTAAAAAAATATAAACTACAAACACGTTTGGTAATTGACAAAATATTTTTAAAATTTTTAAAATATAAAAAAAAGTGAGAAATGACAAGTGGCGGTGGAAGACAGTGGTGAAAAGTGGTGACGGTGGGTGGTAGTGGTGGTGGTGGGTGGGTGGGTGGGTGGTAGCGAGTGGGTGGTGGTGGTGGCAGGTGGGCAGGTGGCGGATAGCGGGTGGTGGTGGGGTGGTGGCTGGTAGTGGCTGTGGTGGTGGTGGTGGTGGTGTGGGTGGGTGGTGGGTGACGGTGACGGGTGATGGGTGTAGCGAGTGGGTGGTGGTGGGGTGGTGGCAAGTAGTGGTGGTGGTAGCAGGTGGGGGTGGTAGATGTGGTGGGGTAGATGGCGGTCGTGACGGTGGCGGGTGGTGGTGGTAGCGAGTGGGTGGTGGTGGTGGTAGAAGGCGGGTGGTGGTGGTGGTGGCGAGTGATGGCAGGCAGGTGGTGGTGATGGTGGTGGATGGGTGAGTGAGCGGTGGGCTGGTGGTGGTGGTTGGTTGGTGGCAGGTGGGCGAGTGGTGGATGGTTGGTGACACGGTGGGTGGTGAGTTGTGGTGGCGGGTAGTGGTGGCGGCGGTGGATGGTAGCAGCGGGTCGTGGGTGGTGACGGGTGATGGTAGGTGGGTGTGTGGGTAGTGGTGGTGGTGGTAGCGAGGGTGGGTGGTGTGGTGGGTGGTAGGTGGGTGGTGGCTGGTAAGTGGCAGTGGGTGGTTAGTGGCGAGCGGTGAGTGGTGGTGGGAGGTAGTGGTGGGGGTGGTAGCGGATAGACGGTGGTGGAAAATGGTGGCGGGTGGTGGCTAGTGTTGGGTGGTAAAAAAAAAAATTCAAAACTCAAAACGGAAATACATTTTTTGAGTTTTCATTTTTTGGCCAAATTTATAAACTGAGACCACTAATTTATAAATCAAAAATTTACCAAACAAATTTTTATTTGAGTATTTAAAATTTTTGTAAATATAACCACAAAATTGAAAACGTTTTAGTGTTCCTCATTTTTAGAAATGATTTATTTTTATTTGATTTTTCTTTCTTAGGTCGGTAGGTGTATAGATTATGGGTTCGTTTGGTTTGTATTTCTGAAAAAAATTTGGGAAATTTTCTTTACAAATAAGTTTTTAAAAGTAATCAAACCAAACAAATTTTCCCAAAAAAATTTCTCAAAACTTGTAAACCAAACGGAAATACATTTTTTGAGTTTTCATTTTTTGGCCAAATTTATAAACTGAGACCACTAATTTATAAATCAAAAATTTACCAAACAAATTTTTATTTGAGTTTTTAAAATTTTTGTAAATATAACCAAAAAATTGAAAACGTTTTAGTGTTCCTCATTTTTAGAAATGATTTATTTTTATTTGATTTTTCTTTCTTAGGTCGGTAGGTGTATAGATTATAATTCTTTAAGGTGTCGTTTGGGAAGTAGGTTGACTTTTTAACTTTTTAATTTTTTTTTTGTTATTTTAGCATGGGCTAAAAAGTTTGGTTTAAGAAGAACTTTTTGACTTTTTGACTTTTTTTGTGAGAGAAAAGTGTAATGATTACGAGTTGAATGTGATGTTTTGTTTGTTGTGGTTAAAATAACTTATTTTGTCTTTTATGACTAAAATAACCACAAACCATCTTCTCAAACCTAGCCTAAATACATAAATATATATTTATTCTATCATATAAAGCGTACATATTGATGTGAATGTTGTTTTGTTTTTATTTTTCTAAAAATGTCATTTACATTCAATAACTGTGAAATAATTTTTTTTTCACTCATTAAATCGTTTAATATTGCTAACAGAATTTTTTTCGTTCATCAAACTACCAAAAAATTAAAATATAAAATTATAAATGCATCGACAATGGGTGCAAACGTGATGTGTTTAGTTATAGTTACTTACATAATTATTATTAAAAAATAAAAGAAAACTAGTAAACTTTCGACAATCATTTCTTAATAGTTATTTCAATTGCTTTGTTCACTTTTTGGGCTAGTTAATATAATTAGGCTCTTAGTGTATAATTTATTAGACTAACTTTATGACACTTTATTGGTACATGCAATTTATATATATATATATATATATAATTGTCAATATCAAAAATAATAAATAACATTTACATATCAAGTCAAAACCAAATGGACCTATATTATTCAACTATTGCATAATGTTTTAATGTTTAGGAATTAAACCTACTCAAAAAGCACATGAGAGAGATGTGTAGAAAATGCATAAACCCCTAATTAACAATTCACAATGAGATCTAAGCACACTGTTTTGCTAGGCTCCCACATGCATATATATATAGAGAGAGCGAGTGTGTGACGCAGCGAAATACACGGGAATTAGATATCGTTCTAGTAGACGAAAGGGACTCTAATTCACGAAAAAAATAGAATCTTGAATCTACAAGGAAGAGAAAATATCTCAATATTGAATGAAAAAATTATCTTTGCCATGAGGCTTACATAGCTATTTATAATAAATCAAACATAATACTTGTAGAAAAAGTAATTCTAAAATAAACTAAGAAACTTAAATCATCACAAATTAGGAAACCTAAGAGAACAGAAAACTATAATTCTAAACTATTTAAAATCCTAATCAAAATCTAATTCCAAAATAATAAAATTAAGAAACCTAATAATTCTAAAATATTTATACTAAATTACAAGAATCCTAACAATATATCAAAAATATTAAAACTAAAAAATATAAAAATTCTTAAAATCTTGTCCTACATCAGACTCCTCTTCTTTGAAAGAACTCGTCCTCGAGTTCATATTAGAGATCTGCCATCGTCCATCCCAAATAAAAAGATACTTGAAATACTTCAGTTGTTTGTCCCTCTTCCGAACATTATATGCAAAGAAGTTTACTTTCTGAAAGTTGTTCTCTATATTAAATTGCTCCACACCAAGAAAATCAACGAAGTGTATTTTATGTTGATGTTGGATACTCTTTGGACTCTGCTCTGTCTTATGTTGGATACTCTCTGGACCCTGCTCTGTCTTAGATTCAGTTGGACATTCAATTATCAATCTTGGAATGTCAATTGCAACATCCTCAATCAACTTCTTTGGTGCACATGTCAACTTTGTTACCTCATCTTTTATTTCTTCTTTTAAATTGAGTTCAGCTAGATCTCCTTCTTTTGCGATCTCATAACCATCATAATAATCAAGAGATGATCGTTCCGTCATTAGAAGCTCCCGGCTACCTTCAACGTTTTTCTCTTGCTTCACATCTTCATTGTCTTCTTCAAACATCTTGATCAAAGTAATTTCAGTGACCTCTCGTTCATTAATTTCAACGTTCTCACCATTAGTAAAATCAACTTGATTTTCTACTTCAATTGAATGTCTGTTTGGGTTTTCAAAATTTTGAAACATTGAGGTACTCAAAATCTTTTCTTCTTCAATGTGTGGTTGAGCGTGATAAATTTGTTGACCTACAAGACTTGATTGACCCAAACTTGGCAGAACCGTAGCCATGTTCCTCGAATAATCTGTATCCACAATTTCATAATAATTATTGAATTGAGAAGAATATTGTGAATCAAAATTATCTTGGAACAATTGTTTTAATTCAAGCTTTCTTTGATATTGTAGATACAATATTTTTCCCATGATTTGTTTGAAGGAATCTAGAACTCATCAACTTCTTCATCTTATTTTTTTTTTGATCGGCAAAGAAAATCTTTATTGATGAAACCAAAAAGGTAAAAAGATTACATCAATAAAGAGGAGCTTGGGGCTTTTAGCCCCAAGCGCCAGTTGGCAAGAAACCAACAAGAAAGAGGTAGAAAGGGATAACAACCGAAGCAAAACACCCAGAAAAAAAACACAGCAGCAGCCAATGTGCTGTCCAGAAATTAAAACATAGCAGCAGCTTCAGTTGAGTGGCTTTGTTTTCCAGAGGCATGGACATCACACAGAAGTTATAACCCGTAACTTGAACAATAAACCAGCCCAACTCACCCACAGACCAGGCAATTCAGAGCAGAACAAACCAGACAAGGCAGCAGACCACAATAGAAACAGAGGAATTCAGCAGCAACTCGCCCACAGAAGTTATAACCCATAACTTAAAACATAAACCAGCCCAACTCACCCACAGACCAGGCAATTCAGAGCAGAATAAACCAGAAAAAGCAGCAGAGGAATTCAGTAGCAACTCGCCCACAAACCAGAACAAACCAGAAACTCAGAAAAGGCAGCAGCAACAAACCAGAACAGAAGCAGAGGAATTCAGCAACAACTAACTCACCCAAAAGGTAGATAAACTCCTCAATTAAAGACCAGATAAGGCAGATAAACTCCTCAATTAAAGACTCCTCAATTAAAGCTTCTAACAGACTCCTCAATTAACTCACCCAAAACAGCACTAGAACAGACCAGATAAGCTGAACAGAAGACTCAGACGAAGCTCCTAATATTTCTCCAATTGCAAACTAGATCTGAAACTGAGAAGGGGAAGTCCTTGATAGAGGCCTTAAGCCAATGGGCTAACCTGATTTTGATTAGTTCCCACAGATCCACTGAGTTAGGATGGGCATTAGAGAATACACAATCATTTCTATGCTTCCAAAAAGACCAAAGGACAACAAAAGGAATGGCTCTCCAAATTTTGGCAATAAAGCCCCTAAGCTTCCTACTCAACCACCAGTTAAATAAGTCTGCTACAGAGTATGGGATGCACCATTGGATCCCCCAGCCAGATAACACAGCAGACCAAATGGACCAAGAGAAAGGACAATGAAGTAAAGCATGATTGGCAGATTCAGGAGTAGATTTGCAGAAGATGCAATAAGATGATGTATTAGAGCCTAGGATGCCAAGGTTGTGAAGGAACACTGCAGTTTTAACTCTGTTTTTCCAGGCTAACCATCCAAAGAAAAGGACTTTGGGGGGTAAGGGGTTGCACCAAATAAATTTGGTTATGGTGAGATCAGGCCCCAGGAGAGATGTGCTAAATGAATAAAGAGAAGAGGCAGAGAAAGGACCTGAACCAGCTGTAGCAGGGTTCCAGACCAAACAATCAACACATCCAGTGGTTAAAGAGGGAGCAGAGGCCAACAAGCTAAGCAGTCGAGAAACATCAGGCAGTTCCCAAGTATACAAGGCTCTTCTGAAGTTGAAGTTCCAATCAGTACCATTGGTTTTCCTTGCAAGGAATTGTTGAAGAAAACCTTCCTTATCAACAGAAAGGTTGAAAAGGGGTGGAAATTCATCCTTGAGGCAAGTTGATCCACACCACTTGTCGTACCAAAATCTAATTCTACAGCCATTCCCCACCTTGATTTGGCAGCTTAGAAGGAAAAAGTTAAAGATATTAGTACTATGATCCCCAATGAAAAGAATGTCCCTCCACACCCTAGAGAGTTTGTAGGAGGATATCACAGGAGGATGCCAACAATTTACCTCGATCTTGTATTTACTACAAATGATTTTCCTCCAAAGTGCATTAGTTTGAGTGCCAAATTTCCACCACCATTTGATAAGCAAGCAAGCATTGACATCCTTGATTCTCCTGATGCCTAGGCCCCCTTGAGCAACACTTTTGGTTACATCTAACCAATTCACCAGGTGAATTTTTCTTTTGAGCCCATCACCACCCCACAGAAAGGCAGCTTCAATCTTCTCTACTTCACGGGCTACACCGCCAGGCATCTTGAAGAGAGAAAGGTAGTACACGGGTAGACAGGATAGGACAGATTTGATGAGGGTTAGTCTTCCAGCAAAGGACAACATTTTCCTCATCCAACCTGATAGTCTTGCTGTCTTAAAGATATAGATATGACAGACAATGAAAATCAAAATAATGTTATGTTCCAATCAGATTTTAATCTTTTCCATTTTATATATAGAGTGAAATTTTCATTTCATTTGATAAAGTTGCAACAAGTTTCAATGAACTATGGCCCGGATAGAACTTCAAAGCATCGAAGCACTCTTTTGATGATAACCACTTGATCCATATCTGCTTCACAGAAGAGAATAGAATCATCCGCAAACTGGAGATGTGATACAAGGACCTCACTAGCCCCAACCAGGACACCTTTAAGGAAGCCAAGATTAATAGCTCTGGTGAGAAGGATATTGAGCCCTTCAGCCACTATGTTGAATAGGAGCGGTGATAATGGGTCGCCTTGCCTAAGGCCTCTTTGCGGAGAGAACTCATTAGTTGGAGATCCATTGACAAGAACGGAGATACGGGCTGAAGACACACAAGTTTTTATCCAGGAGATCCACTTAGAACCAAATCCAAAGCTTGACATCATAGAGAACAAGAATTCCCAGTTGACTGAATCAAAGGCTTTCTCAAAGTCCAGCTTGATGATTAACCCTTGCCTCTTGGCCTTCTTCCATCCATCAACAACCTCATTAGCGATAAACACCCCATCTAGGATGTTCCTGCCACCTATAAAAGCTGTCTGGGTCTCACCTATGATTGAAGGCATCACAGGCTTTAGCCTCTGCACTAAAATTTTTGCTAAAATTTTGTATAGAGAGCCCACCAAGCTAATGGGCCTATAGTCAGCCAGATGAATAGGACTATCTAGCTTGGGAATGAGGGTAATGAAAGAGCTGTTGATGCCATAGGTAAGCTTGCTATGTTTGTGAAAGTCATTAAAGAATAGCATGATCTCATGCTTCATGACTTTCCAGAATTTCTGATAGCATAATAGATTAAACCCATCCGGGCCTGGAGCTTTGTTGCCATTGCTCTCTTTAATGGCTGCCCAAACTTCTGCTTTAGTGAAATTAGGTATCAAACACTGAGATACCAGACTATCCTCAATTACTTTGAATTCCCCACCCAAGGCAGGCCTGTTAATCCAAAATTCCTGGAAGTGGTTCTTGAAATGACTGAACACCTCATGTTTGACCCTACTAGGTTCTTCATGAGAAACACCATTGGCTGAGATAGAATTGATCATGTTTCTACTTTGACGGGAACTTGCAATTATTTGAAAAAACCTAGTATTTTTATCCCCTTTAAGAGCCCAATTCAGTCTGGACTGTTGATGTCATAGCCATTCCACCCTTCTATAGAGCTTCCACACTTCACCTCTGACTCTTCTTCTTCTAGCCTTTTCAGAATGTAGCAATTCTCTTCCTTCCGTAGTGATGTCAAGATCATGCAATTCCTCCTCTGAAGCCTTAAGTTTGGTTGAAACATTTCCGAACACTTCGGTATTCCATTTCTTTAGTTCCAGCTTTAAATGTTTTAGTTTTTGTTGGAGTATAAACCCAGCCCAACCCACAAAACTGGAATTCCCCCAGCAGGTAGTAAATAGTTGTGCAAATTTGGGGTGCAAAGTCCACGCATTGATAAACCTGAAAGGTTTGGGGCCCCAATCTCTTTCATCTTCCATCATTAAAAGGGGACAATGATCAGATATGAGGCGAGGCAGCCCCCAGAGTTTTAGTTTGAAGTGAATTAACCACTCAGGACTCAACAACACCCTGTCAATTCTACTCCAATTCTGAGATTCTTGAGTATTGCACCAAGTATATTTCTTACCAAGAAGAGGAAGGTCATTTAATTCTGCAGAATCTATGAATTCATTGAGCTGTTGCATGCCTCTATCTCTTCTGGAGCAGCCTACTCTCTCACCCAAGTGTCTTATTTCATTAAAGTCACCCTCCATGCACCAAGGGTTGGAAAAGTAGACCTTCAGATTAAGTAAAGTGTTCCAAAAAGAGGATCTACTGCTGACATCATTAGGAGCATAAATATTAAGTAGGACACAATGAAAGGAGTTATATAATGTATCTGAAAGTAGGATAAACCTCCTGTTGCAGCAGCTACCAGATAATTGGAAAACATCTGGGTCCCACATACATAAGAGCCCTCTTGCAGTACCTTCTGGATCCACAGAGAGGAACTCCATTTTCCTTCGACCCCAAAGCCCTCTAGCTAAATTGTCAGATACCACCATCTTCTTTGTTTCTTGAAGGAATACAATATCAATGTGCCTATCTTTTAGTAGCCTTTTGATTCTTCCCCTCTTCTCAGGCTTGCCAATCCCTCTCACATTCCAGGACAAAAGCTTCATAGTTAAACAAAATGACTCTCTATTCGGCCCCAGTACACTACTTTCACTGTTAGGCCTTTCCATCCCTCATAAGCCTCTCCTTGTCCTTAAGTTCAAGCTCAATAAGCTTATCCACCACACTATCTTCCTGCCCTTGGAAATTAATTCCCAAATCTTTCCCCAGTTTGACAATGGCCTGCGCTTTCTTAAGAAGATAGCTGTGCGAGCTTGTGTCACTCTCAGTTAGCTCAGAGCGTGCGACATATTTGGCTTGCTTTTCTTCAGAGATTTCCATACACTCAAAGAATTTGTCAACTTTGCGAAACCAATAAATAAAATTCTCGGCATGACAAGAAGTATTAAAATAGGGAATTTTTAGTGGTACTTGATAATCTGAAAAGTCATGATTGATGCAATTATTGCTATTGAACACATCACTAAATCTTCGTTGTCTCCTTACCAACTGGTATTTACCATAATCCTCGAATAACTCATCTTTAGATTCGTCCTCACTATCATATTGATAACAAGAAGATCGTCTCAAGACGTTGTGGTTAATAGGCTGGCCTTGGGCAAATCCCATAACGTGGTTCCTATTAACGTTGTGACTAACAGGTTGGCCTTGGGCAAATCCCTTGACTCAAATCTTATTAGATCTTTCTCTACGATCATCGTCAATAAAGCTTGTGCTTCCTCTTTTGATGAATGACATCGAGCCAGGGAACACCTTACTCTGATACCACTTGACGCAGCAGAATACACGGGGACTAGAAATCGTTCTAGTAGACGAAAGGGGCTCTCGAATCTACGAGAAAAATAGAATCTTTAATTCACAAGGAAGAGAAAATATCTCAATATTGAATGAAAAAATTATCTTTACCATGAGGCTTACATAGCTATTTATAATAAATCAAATCTAATACTTGTAGGAAAAGTAATTTTAAAATAAATTAGGAAACTTAAATCAACATAAATTAGGAAACCTAAGAGAATAGAAATCTAGAATTCTAAACTATTTAAAATCCTAGTCAAAATCTAATTCTAAAATAATAAAATTAAGAAACCTAATAATTCTAAAATATTTATACTAAATTACAAGAATCCTAATAATATATCAAAAATATTAAAACTAAAAAATATAAAAATTCTGAAAATCTTGTCCTGAAAATCTTATCCTACATCAGGCTCCATCAAAGAGAGAGAGAGAGAGAGAGTGTGAGGCCTGCAGTGTGTTGTTATTGTCATGGAAAATGATTAAGACTCACAAAATAAACCTTTTATAATTTGATTTATAATGACGTGATATGATAAAGATAAATGTTAATATTTTATTTATAATATATTTAATTGTGTAAGATTTATTTCTATTATCAAATTATTGTGAGTCAATTTAGAAGTTTAAATTGTGAATAGATAACACTTTCCTACTATTATTATTATTATTATTATTATTATTAACAAGAGAAGAAGAGGAAGAGATAGGATATTGGACCACTCTATAGTCTAGTTTTAGGCTACTAACCGTTGTTAGAGTTTTTCTCTGTGCTCTGTGGAGGTCTCTCTCTGGTGTGGTGTGGTGTGGTGTGGTGAGAAGAGGGGGCTGAGAGACGAGAAGAGAGGACCACACTATCAATCTAGGGTTTCTATAGGCTCCTCATTAGGGTTACAAATCCCAAGCGCTCCCTCTCTGTCTCTCTCTGAGTAAATGTAAAACACATATAATGCAGCAACAGAAAGCAGATAGACTGGAAGCGCACCCATTTAGCTGCGAGGCGTAGGGTATCCTTGTATGGAACCACCCAAGACAGAGAGACAAGGACTCGTAGGGGATTCTACCCAAATCAAATCTTAGTCGGTCTGTTATTTGTCTTCTCAATGTACCATCATCCCCCTTCCCTTCTCATTTCCTTATCTAGTTTTTGATTCCCAAGAATAAAATAAACAGCAAGGTTGCTTTTATACAATTTTTTTAAAAAAATATTTGGTAATTTGAATTTGTATGATTTAAATATATTAAAATGATATTATTTTATTTTTAAAACGATATCGTTTTGAGACATTCAAATAATTTTAAGCTATAAAAATTCAGACTACTGAACATTATTTTTTTGTCAATTCTCCATGCATATGTTTTTGATTGATAAGAAAATAATTTTTTACGGTCAGTCTTTTTTTTTTTAATTCACATTACTCAACATTATTTTTTTTTTCAATTCTCCATGCATATGTTTTTGATTGATAAGAAAATAATTTTTTACGGTCAGTCTTTTTTTTTTTACCAGTTAAAAAAGCATTGAAAAGGAAAATTATATAAATGAATTATTAATTTAAAACAAAATATAATGAAATAATCTTTTTTTAATATTTTTATAAAAGAATTATTTTTTATAATAATAAATGATAATTTTATTGATATATTTTTATTATTTTTTAAAATTATTTTTAAATCATAAATTTAAATAAATAGTTTATTTATAATTTTTTTTTTTAATATCCAAACACAAATGGACGATGAAATCATCAATCCAACAAAACAAATAGAATATGAGTGCACATAAATATTTAATAATGATTCATATTACTAAAAAAAATATCACTAATAACATTAATGCATTAAAAATGTCAAAAAAAAAAAACACTCACTATTATATCATTAGTGATACTATTAGAACACCACTTTTACTGCTTTCAACTATTTTTTCATAAATATTTCAGATGAGAGACAATGAAGGCAAGCCTTACATGTGGACCCCACAAATGTACAACCCATCTATATCTATTTATTTCTCTCTCCTGTCCTGTGCGTCGTATTCTATGAAATTTATCAGTGCACCAAGTACAAATGCTGTTCATTCTCCATTCAACAAAAGCTTGTTCCATTTGCTTTTCGCAGGAAACGGACGGCTATTCTTAGCTATTGAATCCAGACGATTCCATAACAGTAATTATATACATATATATTAAAAATAAATAATTTATTTTTAAAATAATATTTATTTATTTGTTACAAAAATAATAATAATGGGTGCTTGCAGGTCAATATTATCTTTTTTTTTGTTGATTATCTTGAACTTAAAAAAATTAATATCAAAGTAGAATCCAGAGTGGTTCAAACAGGACATGTCCACTCAAGTGGACTGCAAATAATGTAATAGGATTGCAATTTGAAACGTTAGGCCTTGTCGATCCCAGGCTTCTTTTTTCTTTTTCTTTGTTTTTTTTTCTGATACCCAAAATACCCCTAAGACAGGACTCTTCAAATCCACCTTTATAAGCCAAATTATGAGAAACTAGTCGATCCCAACTTGAGTTGCACTAAACCCAACTCTGAAATCTAGGTTAATAAACCCAACTCTTAAATCTTGGCTGAGTTTGAATTAAAAATTTAAATAAAAATTAAAAAATTAAAAAAAAACATTAATATAACTATATTTCATTCACATTTCACCTATATTTTTCTTTTTCTTTCTAAATCTCTATCCAAATCCATAAACCAAACCCCGCATAAGAAAATTTTGATGAGATTTTGACCTATGAAAGAAATCCAACGTATATCCAACTCTAAAATAAAGTTTTGCCCCCGCCCAAATTAATTCGAGTTCAAAAAAACGCAGACTGAACTCATGAAAAATTGAAATGCTTTGACAATTTAACCAGATCTACCATCCTCAACAAGAAATACATCAATGAATAATATTGCAGAAACCTAGGGTGTGTTTGGTTACCTACCCTAACAGAACAACAATTTTCATTATGGCCAATAACATATCATCAGATGTCGCAGACGCCTGGATAAGGCTCGTATAAAGGAAATAATTTAGCAAAAGTGGTTGTTACATTAATCAGTGCCACGGGAAGGTCAAAATGACTCTTGGGCAAACCCAAATATTTGGTCCCGGGAATAAAGGATTTAATGTAATTCTACATCCTAGGGCTACAAAATTTGGGAATGGGAATGAATTATTACCTAGATCACAAACTACCCTTGTTCCAAGCTTCTTGAGCCAGTGAAAGAGCTTGTGTGGGCAAGCAACATGTCATAGAGGTTCTCGGCTGTTGGACGATCAGTCGGATTATTCTTGGTGCATCGGCGGTAAATATTAACAAGGAAATTCAAAGTTTCTAATTCTGCCTCTGGTTGACCTGGCTCTGTACCAGATTGAGCCATTGCAGGATCCTCTGGCAAACCCAACACCTCCAGCTCATCCGTCAGCGGCGGTCGTTTTCCCATCTGATTCAATCAAACCATTAATATTCACATTCAGCTTTGCTACATGTTTCAAATGCATAATTGACAAATGGACGTTGCTTCAGCATTTCATGGAACAAAAAATCAAATATTCATCAAGAAAGGACACAACACATGCACGCAAAAAGAACAGAGGATGTACCTGTAGGTGGTCATGAATGTCTGATTCTGACAACCCTGAATAAGGGACTTGCAAAGTTAACAATTCCAATATCAAGCACCCAAACGACCAAATATCCACTTCCTATAGCCAAAAAGAAAGAAACCCTTATGAGCCAAATAATCGAGGTCACGGGGGCAAATAATAATAGCTACTATGCAAGTGCAAACCCTGCTGAAAATATTCATTCAATAAGTAAAGACTAACACTGCAAAGAGGCAAAGTCGCAAGCAGACAATTGATAGAAGATAAAATACAAGACCCTGCTAGAAAATGGACTCTCTTTCTCATATGAAGCCTAGGCACATGCAGAAGGCACCAATAGAATGACATATGTCCAGTGCATTGCCCAATTCATCTCTTCCCCTTCCTCGGAAGCTAGACCCTCTAGCAAGGGGTCAAAGGTGACGGTAACTCACTGGCAGCCTCATTGTGCTCACTTGGGCAGAATCTTAGCGGTGCCCCACTTCTTTTGGAATCACCCCTTAACATTTCCCCTTCTGAACCAAACAGTAGTCTCCTTGAAGCCATTGCTTGAAAAGTCATGATAGAGCATGTCATACTACTTATGGCACCCACATGACCAAGGTTTAATATCCTCCATCTCCAAAATGCTATGCTACATGAACTATTTCATTTTACTCTCACAGTGGAAAATACTAAAGATGGGTCAGTTACAGATATAGTTAGAGATCAATTCTGATTATGCAATAACCGAAGGCTTTATGCCTCCATGTCAACCCAGACCTTAAAAAGAAGGATAAATTGCAAATACATCCCCTTGAGATTTGCTTATAATACGATTTCCACCCTATGGTTCTAGAAATTGCATCTCGTCCCTTAAAATTTCTAATTTCATAACAAATTACCCATTTCATTAATAAATTGTCAAGTTAATTAACACTTTTTAATGACGTCAGAAATTTATTTCAATTAATAATTCAGGTGAATTTATCATTGTAAAGAACAGTTTGAAATTTTATTTTTTTAATTAATTCTGTTAAATAAAAAATTTTAACAATGGAATACTTGTAATTTTTCATACCATAGGGGCAAGGCTCTGAAAAGCGGTTGTGGTAGCCGTGACGGTGACGGTGGCGGTGGCGGTGGTGCGGTTGCTATTGCAGGGTGTAAAGGCCGTAGCGTAACGGTTGCAGTAACTGGAACCGTGAATTTTTTTATTTTTCGCACAATTTGAAAAACACTTACCGATAAGCATATTTTTTTTTCCATGATCATATTTATTGAGTTTTAAAATAAATATTGATGAATTTTTGTAAATTTTTAAGTATGATCTAATATATTTCACATTTTTAAATCACTGTAAACTGAGTTTTTTACATTTTATTTTAATAATTAATGACTTAATATTATATAAAAAATCAATCACTAACTATTATATATAAGATAAATAATGACAAAAATAAGAGAATAAATAAGAACCTAAATATATATATACATATATTTTAATCAAGCCAAATAGATAATGACCACACTCAAGATTCTGAAAAGCGGTTGCGGTTGTAGGGTGTAAAGGTCGTAGCGTAACGGTTGCGGTAACCGGAACCGTGAATTTTTTTATTTTTCGCACAATTTGAAAAAAAATGACCAATACGCACATTTTTTTTCCATGATCATATTTATTGGGTTTTAAAATAAATATTGATCAATTTTTATAAATTTTTAAGTTTGATCCAATATATTTCATATTTTTAAATCACTATAAATTGAGTTTTTTTACATTTTATTTTAATAATTAATGACTTTATATTATATAAAAAATCAATCACCAACTATTATATATAAGATAAACAATGACAAAAATAAGAAAATAAATAAAAGCCTAAATATATATATATATATATATTTTACTCAAGCCAAATAGATAATGACCACACTTATTATTATTATTTTCAAACAATATATAGATAGACACACACAAACAAAATGGTTGAATGATAGTAGCTGAATAGAATAGCATAGGTCTTACAGTTTCAACAAATCAATAACATGTTCTTCATCTTCCCTCTTCTCTCTCTTTTTTTGATCGGCAAAATAAGAAATTTTATTGATGGAATAAACAAGAACGAAGTACAAAGGAAATTACAAAGCCCATCTTATCATTTGCTAGCACCCACAGAGTTTGTGAGAGACCAACCGACACAACAACATCAGCACAGACCATCAGCTAGCATTAAGGCAAACAAAGCAGAGCAGACCAACATCAATCAGTTATTATTATTATTATTATTATTATTACGCTTTTTAAAACCTTGACCGCACTTATTATTATTATTATTTTCAAACAATATATAGATAAACACCCACAAACAAAATGGTTGAGTGATAGCAGCTGAATAGAATAGCATAGGTCTTACAATTTCAACAAATCAATAATATGTTTTTCATCTTCCCTCTTCTCTCTCTCTTTATCTCTTGCTCCTCCATCTTTCCTATTTATCTTCCCTCTTCTCCCATTTTCAATTTTTTTTTTTTTTTTGTGTTTTTTTTCGAAAGAAGAGTTCGGAACCGTTACGTAACGGCGCATAACTGGCTGTTACGGCTATTACGGCACCGTTATGACCGCTACAGCAGCCGCTACAGCCGACACACCTGTGAATCTCAATCACACTGCAAAAGCGGCCGTAACGGGTGACGGTAACCACCACAACCGTTACGTAACAATTGCGGCCGCTTCTTAAAACCTTGCATAAGGGACAACCCGTATTTGAAGCAAACCTCAAGAGTGTATTTGTAATTTACCCTAAAGAGAATGCCCCACTGTAACATAACCTAGTGGATGTTTAATCCACATAAATAGCTTCTACATGATGAAGCAAGATTAATGTGCGACTTCAGCTTCATCTATTTGCTACAAATCCTAATAGCTAAGTAAACATCAAAATCAAACTCCAAATTTCTCCATCAAAATAAAATTAATAAAATCGAATATGGCCATTCATTGTAATACCTAAGGCATACTATAAAAATGAAATTAGGCATATTGTGTTGACAAGTATGATCTCACTCATAAAAGTAAAAAGATTGTTTCCCCAACATTATTTCCAGACTTCATAAGAAACCATCAAGCCATAAGGGCTTTCTGCCGTTTCACCTTTGATAACCTACAACTCAATCAGAACAACCAGCTTACAACTTTGGACAGGTTTCAAGACACAGCAAACGTGCACCATGTTTCATATTTATTTATTTTAAAAAAAGTAGAGTACAACAGAAAAAGACATCGGATGAGTAATGATACATAGCTCTAATTTGAGAGCTCTAAATGGAACTCTAGTGAGGTGGAAGAGAGAGAAAGTAGAGAGAGATAGAGAGAGGAGTGTGGGCCCTACCTTCACATGGGTACTCTCCACATCATTAGAGTTGCATTAAAGCTCTCAAATTAGAGCTCTAAAACATTATTGTTCCTAAAGATATCTGCTATCTTTATGCATGTAGTACGTATTTATATATATGGTGCAGTGCATCCTAGTAAAGTTGATTATGTTTTGGGATCAAGTAAATGAAGCAATTAGTGCTGAGTAGATTTACTAGTAAGCATTTTGAAATCAAACAAACATATATTAATGCCCATTAATCATCTACAAACTCCAGATGCTGTCTACATTAACCTTTGATTTTGTATTTTTTTTGCTGGGTTGGGGAGGGGGTATTTCAGAACTTCAGAATAAGTTGAAAACTGATAAACTAGCAGGGGAAGAAACTCACCAGCCCATATATGTCAGGCTTATGCATTGCCCGAAACACCTCAGGAGCCATCCAACGAGGTGTTCCAACACAAACATTCGGTGGAGGTATTCCAATCTGAGCAATGCAGCATGAATGCAAGTAAGAACGAAGGGGGACTGCTCTATCAAAATCACAAAGCTTGACAATAGGCGATCCATCAGGTCTCCTCCCATCCAAATCTATCAAAATGTTTTCACTCTTTATGTCACGATGAATAATGTGTTCAGAATGCAACTCCACCAATGCACATGCAACATCTCTAGCAATATACAATGCCAATTCAACCTGGACATGCTTCTCGCCAGTTGAAGCTGGAGCTAATATTTTGATGTTTGATTCAATTCATGGAAGAACCTGCTTGCACTATGCTGCTTACTATGGTCATTCCGAGAGCAAGCTCGAGTGGGTGTTGTTGGGTTGCCTCCGAGAGAGAGAGGATTTGGGCAATGATGGGAAGGTATGTGTAGAAAATAAGCGGAATAGGTGGAGGACCGGCGGACGGCTAAGGTGAGGTTGCCGCCCGCCGGTGAAGCGAAAAATACCAGGTTCTAAACCTGCTCTGATACCATGTTAAAATTGATGTATTATTGATTGATGTATATTGTCTATTACAAATGGTGAGGGACTCCTCATATAGGAGATATAGTGGAGTAGGTGGTAGTGGTAGGTGTGTAGTAGGTGGTAGTAGGTGGTGGTAGTAGGTGGTGGTAGGTGTAGTAGGTGGAGTAGGTGATGGTAGATTTTAACAGTTTTTTATTTAAAAATTAATATTGGCACCAGGTATGTAGTAGCAACTCAATTTTGAAACCTTTAAAAGAAAATGGAAAAATGAAAGATATAACAAAAAAGGAGTATAACTGCAATGGCTATATGCAAAGACAACAGTTATTCAAAGTGAACATTATACAGAATATAGTAATTGAACTATTATTTATCAACAAATGCTGGCAAAACCCTAGTACAACTTCAAGAAAGAAGCATGCAAAATAGAAAGATACAAGGGGTAACAATTAGCAATAAACACACCTTCGCTACAGCCTCAACTGATCCAAAATCACACCGGATGAGAGTGCTAGAAGCCACTTTTTCTGTTTCTTCACTAGTAGAGAGAGAAGGAAAGGAACAACTTGGTCCAGGATTGCTATCTGTCACATGAGGAACATTAATCCGGCTGAGAGGAATGTACCTGAAACAACAACTTGCCCCTCAGAAACTACAGTAAAAGCATGCAGCCACATGCACCTCTCCATCAACAACATAACTAGCCCTAGAGAGGGACCAAGATTAAAGAAAATAGATGTTATTCAGATTTTGTTCTCCCCTAACACAGCTGCATATATTGCATGGAACATGGCAATAGTCATGATTACCCTAATACATTAACAGTTCTCTGTCTTATAAATAACGACATTAGCAGCAATCTAAATATCTTCAAACAGATTCAAGCGGAGCACTATGCTATTTTATTTCAACCAGTGAAATCTTAATCAAAATAAGAAATATTGCTTTTATGTTACTTCACAAGGAATAACATAAATTTTCTCTCTTTCACACAGTGACACAAACACCCAAATAACAACGCAAGTCCATATGCAAATCTTTAAATGGAAAACATAATTAGCAGCACAGAGACTACCAAGAACATTAAAATTATAATAAAAGCAGTTACCTGCAAAAATATTCTGGGTCTGTTTCCTCCCTTATATCATGTGGATGACACGCATCAACTATCATGCGAACCCATGCATCACCCCTCTTGATAACAACAATATTCCATGCATGCGGTGAGAAATCTAAATACCCCCGAACAAGCTCACAGTGTACTCGAGGCTCCATCCGGTCACAAAGGTACTAGAGCACATTATGATTTGTCAGTTCACAAGAAATTAATGTAGGAAGGGAAGAGCAAAAGAATCAAAAATTACAAATGAAATACATGTACAGTAAAGGAATCACCTTCATAAGCAATGCTCTATGTCTACATATGCCAAACTGGAGAGTCCCAATAGGAACCACGATGGAATTTTGTCTTGCTTTAATAGATTGAAGAGATTTCTCACAAAGATCAAGGAAAACAATATCTTCCACACACTCTGAAATTTGTCTAGTGGATTTCCTAATACTGTCACTGTTTCCAGTTGGGCAGGTACAGATAAAGGGCTTTCTATAGTTTGAACCAGATACAGCTTTCCGTGTCCTCTCAATTACTGCACTTTTATCACTGCCCCCAAAGTGGTCTGATACAAAAAGAGCAAGCCATGACGCAATCTGCAAGTCATCAATTGCTAAATGTTCTCTTTCCTTGGTTGAACCATTAATCTGCTTAAAATGGAACACTAATGCTCGAGCACACAATGCAATGGCATCCAACTTTTCATCGTTTTTCCTGAATGAAATATCAACAATCACAATCACTAAGATTTGAAACTATTCTATCATCCCCAATAGCCAACGGTAGAAAGCAACATCTAATTCAACACCAAGCATGTGTAGCATAAGGAATTACCTGTCTAAAAGTATGACTTCACGTGAATCAAGATGCAGATTTTGCTCATAACTCCTCAGTGGCATGAAGGGCCGATCTCGTCCTGCATCAAAAAAGCCATCTGGTAGATGGTCATCAATGCTACAGAATGATGTGTTGCTATATTTGCAAGATAGATCTGAGTGATCATCAATTGATCTCTGATATTTGCTAGGTTTGGGATTATCAAGATCCCTATCAGGATGCCTTTTTGACTTTGGAATACTGTTACATAAAGTCAAAGATGAGCCTTCATCTTGCAACTGAGCAGCATCTGAAATAGCATCCAAAGATGCATCATGTTTAGTACAGTCCTTCTCACCCTCTTTACATATTTCAACAGAGTTAACTGTCACACACGAGCAATTATCTATATGATTCTCCTTTTTCGAACCAATATCATCGTCCTCAACGCTAGTAATTTCACACTTGGCTTCTCCAGAATGTAATTCTTTATCATCAATGTCAGGAACTGAAATGCCTGATGTACAAGATTCTGAAGAAAGAACAGCATGTTTGCATGATTTGCATTTGTCTGCTGCTTTTTCTGTCAATAACTCGGCATGATCGTCACTTTTCCACTTCCTGCTGCTGTTTAAACGTTCTTGGCGAGCTCTCTGTTGTAAATAATACCGTCGTTTCCATCCCTTGCCAGTCCGTCGTGCCGCAAAACACCGACTGTTTGATGAGGATCCAGTTAAATGGTTTGATGAGGTAACAGGGAAGCCTAAATCATCACAAAATGTACAGTTATTTAAAATTAGTTCAAAAAAGAAAACGAATACAAAGAAGTCTAATGCCCTTGCCAAAAAGAGGGGGAGAAAATAGAAGGCAGGAAAGGAAATGTATGACAAAAAAAAAATCTGGTAAATATATCTAGAGGCCTCACCTTTTCGAGATACACTATCATCAATCTCCCGAACATCACCCTCAAATACATCCATTTCAACGGCAGAACTGATGAATTCATCATTGGATGTGTCTTCACCATTTCCCTCCAAATTGCACCATATCCATGAAGGTATTTGACAACAACTGAGAAGCTTGTTATACTATAAAGAATCAAGAGCACAAATATAACCAATGTTAAGTTCAAAATTTTGGACAAGACTCTGCAAAAGGTATAAATTTAAACAAATAAACCACAGATTCACCAGCATGAGGGAAAATAGCTCCAAATATTAAGATTACTTCAGAGGAAATGTTGAAACAAATCAGAAACAACATGGCAGAGTAAATACAGCTGCGCAAAATTATCAATATATAAATATGCATATACACAATTAAGCAAACCACATGCAACTACCAACTCAATAACTTCCATGAGGAAAGGGCAATTGGACTCACGAAGAAAAACCAATACTAGTATTTCAAAACAACTACTACAACAACAATGTCACAGCAAGAACAGAAATATCAATAACCCATCTCGGTCAGCCATTATCCACAGTTACAAGTATAATAACATGTGAATTAATATTAGACAAGGAACATATGAACAGACAAACATACTAAAGTAATACAAGATCATTGAATTCTTGACAACATTATTTTCTTTAAAAAATTCTGTAGAAGCAAGTCCGCCACAAAAAATTGAAGAAACGAACTATCGATCATGATTAATGACAGATTGCAGCTTTAAGTGAAACATGATGAGCTATGATTATACTAAAATTATTCTTGAGAATCGTAAGATTTTGATAACAAAGATTGGGGTATAAATGAAAGAACTTGGGGTACAAATGAAAGACCATCAAAATCTGTTTACGAGAATACAAGTTTAAAAGAACTTCTTGCCACATCATATTTCCTAGTTTATGGTTACTAATATGCTTATCAAAAAAAATTTTAAAAAAAAGAATTAATGATTATTAATATGTACCTGAAGATTTAGTTTCTGAAGGTTATGCATTGAGTCAAGTTCGAGACAACCCAGCGATGATAACCTATTATTTGACAGGTCCAAGGTCTCCAATCTTTGCAGGGATGACAAACCAGAAGGTAGTTCCACCAATTTATTATTAGTGACTTTCAATGATATCAAGGCATTTAAATAAGTTATCTCAGTTGGCAAACTCCTCATCTTATTGAATGAAAGATCTAGATACTCTAATTTTTTAAGGCAGCCAATTTCTGGAGGAAGGTATCTGCAGGAAAAACAACAAACAGAACATCACAACTTTCTCCAAGACGCAAAACATTAACATATAGGAAAAAAGATTAGAAAATGATCAAAAATATAGAGGAACTCTATAGTTTGTTGGAATCTTATAAAATGGTAGAATTAAGACCAATACACAAAATAGTTTTTAAACATTTGTACCATTCTGCCTCAATGGACATAGTTTTCAAACTCATTCCCACCCAACAGAAGACTAAATAATTGTAGTTTGGTTTGACTGCAAAAGGTTACACCACAATATATAGATGTTGCCCCTTTTTGTTGTCAATAGAATATTGTCAATCAAAAAAAAAAAAAAGTCGTACTAACTGTTTTATATGGTTGATGTGGATTGGGTGGTTCCTCCCTCTTGTATTCAAACGCTATTGATTGATTATAGGGGATTAGGAACACCAATAAGAAAGCTCGAGTTCTTCGGGATTATGTCATTTTTTTATATTTTGGGAAATATAGTGAGAAAGGAATGTAAGGATTTTTTTTTTTTTTTTTTGTGACAAATTTGAAAATTTGAAGGGGATATGGGATAAGATATGTCATTATGTCTTCTTTTTGGGCTTCAGTTGCTTCTACTTTTAGAGAGATTTCATTGTTCTTTATTAGTAGGGATTACAGGGTAGCGTGTGATATTTAGTTTTTGCGTTTTGGTAGATTCCATGTCCTTCACTTTCTTTATTGCCAATCAAAAAGGTAATTTTTAAAAGCTATTTCATGGAAATCAATCAAGAAACTCGAGTTTCGGGGAATTTAATAACTCTAGCAGTAATATTGATTATATATTCTTCTGCAAGATGAAGGTAGTGGAGGTAAAGTAGGCTAGGAAGAAGATGAGATTGGGAAGTAGTAGGACCAGATAGAATTCCCAAAAAAGTCTGAAAGTATTTGGGTGATGAAGGGATAGTTTTGGTTGATTAATTTGTTTAAAAATATTTTGAATTCTATTACAACAATTATGAATAGAGAAAAAGTACATTAGTTCCAATATATAAGAACAAAAATTAAATTTAAAATTGCACTAATTATCATCATATTAAACTTATGAGTCATACAACAAAACTTTGATAGAGAGTGATTGTGTAGAGATTAAAACATGTGACGGCAGTTTTTAAAATACTATAAAAATTGAGGGGGGAAAAAAATGGAAAACTAACAAAGACCTTCATATGGTGTTTATTGACTTAGAAAAGCATATGATTGTATTTCCAAAGAGATAATGTGAGTTTCGAATTAGTGACAACAAAAGGAGTAAATTTTAAGCTTGAATTGTGGACAAATATTTACAATATAAAGAGTTTAGGTTAAGTTGATTGAGACAGAATACATGAAAATGTAATGTTAGAAAAACTACAAATAGGGATGAAGAAGGTAAGTAAAATTTTATGGGCATGAGATACATAAGAGTGATCATTTTTTATATCTTGGGTTAATTAGTATTCATAAAAATGAAGAGATTGAGGAGGACGTGTCTCACAAAATTAGGGAAGAATGGATGAAATGGAGTAGTGCATTAGGAGCATTGTGTGCTCATAGGATTTCTAGTAAGATGAAGGGAAAAAATCATGACTTCTTTTTCGCAGATAAAAAATTGAAATTTATGCAATCGTCAAAAGAGTTGCTATGATGTATGGTATAGAATGCTAGGCAACCAAGAAAAAAACATGTTATGGAAATGAGTGTAGCTATAATGAGAATGTTGAGATGCATATGGCGAGGTTATAAGAAAAGATAAAATATGAAATGAATTCAATAGGAAGAAGTTAAAAGTGACTCCAATTGAAGACAAGAAAAAGTCATATAAGATGGTACAGCCATGTGCATCATAAACCAACATAATGCTCATATAAGGAAGAGTGATGTGATTCACATAGAGGATGGTAAGAGAAATAAAGGACAACCTACAAGAACTTGGGTTGCGATGATAAAGAAAGAATATGATTATAACCTTACCAAGGAACAGCTAATTTGAGGTTAAAAAAAGACATGGCTATCTTAAACATAACTTGTGTATGCGAATAAAAACAATTGAAGGAAATAAATCCATGTAGCCGAACCCAAGTAATTGAGACCCAAGCTTGTTGAGTTGAGTTGAGTTGAGGAATCGACCCAAAATTATATTAGAACCAACTTATATATATAGAACCTCACCGTTCCCAATAAAAGAGGCTTAAATCAATCCACGCCAAAATAGTTCCTTTCTTTTTTTTCATTTTTTCTTTTTTCTAAAAGTGCCCGAGCATGCGGTATCACCACCAACATGAACTACTAATTGATCTAGATTGCATCTTCCCATGCCAAAATAGCTTCACAATAAAAAAATTTAAACACTTCGTCAAAATATTCTAAAATGAAATCGTAAGTATCATTTTGTTTGAAAATGTAATCCATCATTCAGTAAAGCAGGGGAGAGAACACAAAGTTTGATCAGAATGGCATAGAGGCTTACTAGTAGAGATAAGCACATAATGTGAAGAATTTCAAGATACATTTGTGTAACTAATAAACACTAACAACTAAAATCTTATTAAGATATAAATTACCTAATTTTGCTTTTCTAATTGTTAGATATTCTTCCAAAATAACCATTATTACCAGCTTAGAGTGAGACCGAGAGGGATTAATTAACAGATTTCAACATGTGGTTGGGAAAACCAAATTAATCATAAAAAAAATTTGCACTACTACTGTAACTGTGTGACTAATTTTAGATAACAATAATCCTGTAGATTGACTCTAGCCTTTCAACATTAATATGCAATACATTATTAGTGCAATTGGGTGCCAAGAAAAACCATCATAACATCAAACCTTAATAAGTAATGGAGAAATATATAGGTTAGCTTCATTAGGGCATGGGTAAGTAAGATAAGTGTGACTAATGCTATGAATCTTCCCAAAACGTGGCCAGGATTCAAGACAAACCCCCAACTACCAAACCCTAAAAGTAATCGATCAGAGGTTACCAGTTCATACCAAATTATTACCATGTGTTGATGTGTCAGTTGCCTGACCAACAATAATCCAGATTTGCATTGCTTCAATAATGCTCAAATGGCATAGTTAAGTACAAAACCCAAGACCTTTATTTTCCCATAAGCTATGCTCCTCTTATATGGCTTCTCCATCTCGCCTACAAATCACAGTAATCCACATTTTGCAACTCTGAAACACAATCCAAATGATGCAACTTATTTGTGCACTTCTACTCCATTTTATCCTTCATTCACCTTTCTATTTTGTACCATTCACAAGCCACCTTAAAACCTCACATGGACAGTATGAATTTCTAATTTATTCTCATCACCTTCTACTCAACAGTCCAATCAATGAAATTCTAATTACTTGTTCATGCAGGTATAAATCAACAATACATTCACTTATATCCACAGTTTAACAAATGGCACAAAACAAATTTCCTCATAATACTGGTCTGGTCTCTATGAGCAATTGCAATCTTTTACACTAAGTAGCTTACAACAAGTTCAATTGACATGCATGAAACATTACTTAATGCAAATAGACTTTCCTCATTTATATCTACAATATTCTGTAGATCTACTGGTCTGTAATTATTCCCTTTTTTAATACTTTGGGAGCCACAAGGTAGTTGAGTCTGTTAGTATCAAATGCCACTATTAGTAGTAGCACCAGCCAGCATAGCACAGCCAAATGAAAGATTGAATGACTTCATCACTTTACATGTAAAACAGAACATAACATCAAGAAAATTGGTTTATTAAATTGGATATAAGTTTGTATCAAGTTATTGTAAGAATTTAGGAAATTTTCAAGAAACTGATTTCTAGTCTGCCAATGAGAAAGTAACCGGTCCTTTGTTTAGATATGACATAGGATAGGTAAAGAATTAAAAAAGAACAGTAACCTGATAGAGAAGTGACAAACAGAGAGCTTTGTCAAGCCCTTGAGCCCAGCAATCTCACTCAACAAAGGAAATGCCGAAGGCCTTGGAGGCACCTTGCAAAGCTCAAGCTCCTTCAAAGCCATTAACTTGTGCAAAGGCAAACCCGTCAAACTCGGCGAAGTTATCCTCAACTGCAAGCATTCCAGCTCAAACAAGTTCCTAAACTCCGTGGGAAAAATATTAACCTCATTCCCGAAGAACTTCAAAGTCTTCAACTTTCTCAAACCACCCAACCACCTAGGAATCAAATTGAATACATTCTTATACATATACAACCCCTCAACCGAATCCTCCGACCCGTTTGGTACCGAAAAATCCAAACTTTTTCCAGAAACATCAAGAACAGAGCCGCAATCAGCATCATCTCCAGTTAAATTGGTCTCCAAAACTCTCGATTTTTCAGATTTCTCGGCTTCTTTCGAGGGATCCTCTTCTGTAACTACAGGTTCGTCCGAATCGGTGACCTGCATTTGCTTAAAACACTATAAACAATAGATAAATATTTTGAGAAATTTGAAAGGAATTTGGAGATTTGGGTTAGGGTTTAGAAGTAGAGAAGATTGAGTGGGAGATCAATGGAGAAAAGAGAGATGACGAGAGAAAGGGAAGAATCGCAGCAGCGATGATGACGCATACAAATACATATGAGTATATGTGTATGTATGTATGTATGTATATCCTAGAGAGAGAAAATCGAAAGGAACTGTGAAGAGCGCGAGGGATAAGAAGACAACAGAAGCGAAGCGCTTGCCGAGAGAGAGAGAGAGAGAGAAACCCTAAAATCTAGAGGAAAACTCTTGGAGAAGGTACTTTTATGGGACAGTCTCCAGCTTTTCCCATTCAAGGGGGAACCACGGGTATGAAAAGTCATAATTGCCCTTATCTTTACTCGGAATTAATTTTATTTGCAATGGCGATTTTGACATTTCGGTGCACCGTGATTATTGCTTTACAAAATTCAGGACAACTAGGTGATTTTTTAATTAAAATTCTTTTAAAGTAACAAAAACAAATTAAAAGTTCGATTTCAAGAGGCCACGTCATTTATATTAGTTAATTATTTTTTATGCTTAATTATTTAATTAACAAAAATAATTTTAAATACATTAGTTGTTTTCACTTAATAAAAAAAAATTAAAAATTCAAATTTCCAAATGGATTCATATATATTTTGTTATATAAAATACACAAATTAAAATATCGTTTGAATCTTTTTTTATATTTAAAAAATATATATTGAATATCGTAAACGCTCACATAATTATAATAAATTCTTTTAAAATTTTAATTTACATAATATTTGTTATTTTTATTTTAGTTAAATTATAAATACATATATTGAGATTTACTTAAAATACGGATTATTCTCTATTGTTTGAAAAATTACAAATATCTTCTTGTTAGATTTTTTTATTTAACAGAATTAATTGAAAAAGTAAAATTTCTAACTGTTCACCTATACAATAATAAAATTATCTAAATTATTAATTGAAATAAAATTTTAACATTATTAAAAACTATTAATTAACTTGATAATTTATTAATAAAATGACTTATTTGTTATTAAATTAAAAACCTTAAGGGCATAATGTAATTTCTAAAATCACATAGCATAATTTGTAATTTAAGTAAATCTCAGAGGGTGTGTTTCTAATTTACCCTTTTATTTTTTATGAATTAAATAAAGTAAAAATAACATAAATTAAATATAAGTTAAATTTTTGTTGCTTTTTCTTTTACTTTATCTCTTTTCACAAATTTATTTTCAAAATTTAAATTTAAACTCAACTTTTAAATTTTAAAAAAAAAAAGTGAGCATAAAAAAAATAATAATTCAAATTATCTTATGGGTGAGATACCGCCTTCTAATAAATCATCCTGAAATTTCAAGGCACGTTTAATAATAGCTAAACATTCTTGTTTTATTGTTGGATAATTTTGTGCTGCTTTATTCCAAATTCCTGAAGTGAACCGTAAAAGTTCTTCTCTCTTACTGGTAGGATTAAACTGTTTAAGAATACCACCATAACCCAAGTTAAAGGCATTTGTTTCAACAATTTTTTTCCATTCTGGATGTGGTAAAAAAAGACGAGGAAGACTCTTGACTCTAGCCTTAATTTTTTGAATAGCTTCTGTATGTTCTGGACTCCAAGGTGGAAGGTTCTTTCGAAGTCTGGTATATAAAATAGCTGCATCTGTAGCTAGATTAGGGTAGTAATCATGTATGTAATTTAAACTACCAAAAAATTGCTGTAATTGAGTTTTATCTTTAATTTCATCAGGAAATTTAGAGACAAACTCCATACTTCTGTCTATTGGAATTATTGTGCCATTATAAATATTATGGCCTAAAAATCGGACTGTAGTTTGAAAAAGTTTCATTTTTGATGCAGAAATCACCAAACCATTTCGGGTAATAACATTCTTAAAAATATGAAGATGTTTCATATGCTGGTCAATGGATGATGAGAGAATAAGAACATTATCAATATAGCAAATTGCAAATTCTATATAAGGATTAAAAATATCATTCATGATGTGCTGGAATTCAAATGGAGCATTTTTCTACCCAAATGGCATAACATTTCATTCAAAATGTCCAAAGGGTACTGTAAAAGCAGTTTTATACCTGTCTTTTTCTGTAATTTGAACCTGCCAATATCCTAATTTCATGTCAAATTTAGAAAATATGACAGCATCCTGTAAGCGATCTAAGAGATCTTTTTTATTTGGTATTGGATACCTGATCCACTGTAAGGTTTCATTAAGAGGTTTATAATTAATTACTAATATTGGCACTCCTCTTTCAATTTTTGCATTTTTATTAACATAAAATGTTGTACAACTCCATGGAGATCGACTAGATCTAATGAGTTTTTTCTGGAGTAAGGTATTGATTTATGTCTTGCGGAGTTCTGAATACTATTTTTTCATTTGACTGGGACGCGCACTGGTTGGAATTTTGCGCTCATCAAAGTCTGGTTCATAAGGAAGAGAAACTATGTGTTTCTTTCTTTCCCAAAATGCATTAGGAACATCACTGTAGACTTCTGTTTGGAATTCTTGTTCAAGAAGTTTAATTTTATTCTGTAAAGAAGATTGCTATAATCTTTGTTCTGTAGTAAGAAAAGAAATTTCTTTTTGTAAGAAATTAATTTGGTTTTCTTTGAAATTAACTAGATCCTTAATCTAATCTAATTCTTTGGTGTAACGTTCTGTAATAAATTCAAAAATAATCTGCTGATTATTTAAGGTTGTATGGATGCCTATGGAATCAATCTTTGTGATTGGCATAAGTAGACATAGGAATGGTGTCCCTAAGATGATGGATTGAGACATATTTTTAATCAAGACAAAAGATGTAGGAAAGCATAACCCTTGGTTACATATGAAAACTTCTAGAAGTTTGTACCTAATATAAAAGAATTACCACTTGCGCTAGTAAATGATTGTGTAGTTTTTTGGAAATATTTAGTTGGAATTAACCATTCCTGGATACAATTCATATCAGCACCACTATCGACAAGGGCGACAACATCTTTAATTATAAAATATGGTTTTATAATAAAAGTAATTCTGATATACCATTTCTGAAACGTTATTGTATTCATAAGCATAAGATAATCAGGTTTAGATTTTTTATCATCTCGTTTATTGCTGGATTCAAGGATTGTAATAATTTCTTGTTCCTTATTCTGGAGTTTACTATTAATTTTCTTATTTTCAGAATTAATTACAATGTTGGAAGTTTGTAAATGTTTGATTTCAACTTTTAAAGCATTTACTTCCATTTTTAAATCCTGGATTATTATGGGTTTTTCTTCTGTAACATGCTAGAGTCTTTTGAATATTTCTTTCATACTGTAGTGGTGAGGAGGAAGAATTTCTTCCTTTTTTTGTTAATTATAACATCATTCTTAAAATTTTAATTTCATTTCTGGATCGGAAATTTGATCAGCAATATTGATCATATTTTGCTCTGTTTTTGTAAGAACATTGATACTGGGTATTCATTTCAACTATGGCTTTACAATAGTTAGCTTATTCTGAAATTTGATTAACATTAGTTTTGCATTCACAAATTTATGGAGAGGCATCATGTCACGACCCAAACCCACCCCTATGGGTTTTGCACCGTAACCGACCAGTAATCCGAGATTACCGAAGGCCTGCTTAACAATAATACAGAGTACAGGGGCTAGCGGAAGCCAAAACAGTAATTAAAAGATGTCCAATGAGCTGTGACAGTCTGTATACAAAAAGACTTTTCTTATATATATATACAATCAGTACCAAAACAGTATGTACAATATATATGAGCATTCAGGACAGGGACTCAATCCCTATTAGAACAGTACGGTATAACAACATTCAGTTTATACAGAACATAAACAAAAATGGGGGAAAAAAAACCAAAACACCCCAAAAGCCCTAGCTTGACAGGCTCGGAACCTCGCAGTAAGGCACAGTGGTTGGCTTTGACAAAATGGGGGTCTAACCCACGCTCCTAGCTCCGGTCTGGTGCCTGAACACCTACATATATATATAAATAGTGAGCTAAAGTCCAGTGAATAACATAATGTGTAAAGAGGTTAAGAATGAATATCCCTTCAATATTTTAAACAGTCATTCGCCTTGGTAAATCAGTTATACAATCAGTGGCTTATATTTCATGCCATATCAGTCATTTAGAAACCATAGTAATCGTACGTGGCACATCCGTTAACAGAACAGTACAGTAGATCTTAATAGGCTGAATAGTCATAGATTGGTCATCAAAACAGTAGGCAGTGGGAGTTCCGAACATTGGAACTGGCAGAGATTTTTGTAACAATAGTAGTAGCAGTAGCAGTATCAGCACAGTGACAGTACATTAGCAGTAACGGTAACAGTATAGGAACAATACAGTAGCAGTAACGGTGGTAACATAGTAACAGTACAGTGGCAGTAGTAGTAACAGTGCAGTACGGTACAGAGCAGTAGTAGTAGCAGTAACAGTACAGTACAGAGCAGTGGTAGCAACAGTACAGTACAGTACAGAGCAGTGGTAGTAACAGTAACAGTAACAGTATAGTAACAGTACAGAGCGGTGGTAGCAGTAATAGTATAGTAACATTACAGAGCTGTAACAACCCTCATACTGTTTACTGATTAATGACTGATTGATTACCGATAATCACCGATTACTGTTAAACGGAACTGATAATGACTGATAACTGACTGAGAATTGAACTGATTAAAGTACTGAATTGACTGACCGAAATTGAAACTGAATTGAGTGAATACATCTGTTTGAATTGCATTTTATCTGTTGACTGTTTGTTTGATCTGTTCGTGTTTTATGTTTAAACTATTAATTGAAAGCCTTATCGGCGGCCGAACCGGAAATGGGTTAGTGTATTATGATCGTCATATTTAATATGATTTTATGGTATAATTATCTGAAAACTGATTAGATATGATTAAATTAGTTTAAATATTGACCAATTGCAGAGTTGGCCTTATTTACCGACCTACCCCTAGTGGGCCACTATCTCACACACACACTTGAGCCTTATACATTGAATCAAACATTTCTTTAGCCTATTTGTGAGACCTTTAGCTGACCATAGAGAGAGAGAGACTTGAGGAGTTGAGTTCATCTCAATATTGCTTAGAATTTGAAGAGAATTGAAGTGTAGATTGCTAAATTGAGCTCCTAGTCTTCTAATTCAAGACCTAAGGTAGAGTAATTACCCTCTTGTTTATGAATTGAGCTTGTTCTTTCATGATTCATGTCAAATTGAGGAGCTAAGTCTT